CCCCAATCAGCTGTCGACAGCCCATGCTCCCCGGCCCATGGGACGACAGCCCATGCTCCCCAGGCCAGCAGGTCCAGTGGCCAGGCATGGCTGAACTGCCGTCTGGCGTCTGCAGTGCTTCTGGTCGCCGGCACCGGCGGCAGGGCGTTGGGACCAGGTGTCTCGGCAGAATGCTCGCGTTTCATGCGGAGCACACGCATCTCAGTCGAGAGGCCGAGCGCGTGCCTTGCTGCAAAGGCGTGGGGTCCAGCTCTGTCCGCCTCAGATTTGCCAGTAGGTCCTTGTATTCTGTTCGAGGGACCGAGCTGCTTGTTCCACGAGTAACGGAACAGGGCTCATACAATTTTGAGAAGCACCCCTGCCTGAAATGCAGTTGGCCAGGTGCCTTAGTAGACTGGAGTGTGGTGTGGTAGTGAGGAAGCCGTGCCCCCCTCCCCACCTCCCTTAAAGTAGTTGGTGGAACTTGGACCCTCCTTTGGATGCCAAGCTTATTGGGTAATGGACCCCCTTTGGATAAAGTTTATAGCCTGTGGTTTCTCTGGCATGAGATAAAAGCAGCCAAATTACACAGTTACGGTTAATGAGAAGTCGTACAAATAATCAACATCCCTTTATTATCCAGATGATAAACATCGCTGCAGAAGCGGCTGGGTCACGGAGGACGTCCTAGTCATATGCCTGTTTTGTTGCGCGTGTAGCAACAAAATTCAGTCCTCCGGGGTGGGAACGTGGCGCGCTGTGTGTACCCCACCACTGTCTTATTGGGGACCCCTGTGTGGCAAGCATAATTTGGTTTCACTTTCCACGACTTGCCGCTTCTCTGGATCTGATGCACGTTCTGAGCTGCCTGTTCCGTCTTCTGGAACGTTCTGCAGAACCCAAGCTCTGCTTCACTGGCGGACTAACCCGAGCCAATTTCATAACGCCGTGCTTCCTTAATGGGGGCCCCGCTCAGCTGTTGTGGTAAGCCAGAATCGCCAGGACTTCTGTCCTGCATGGACAAGCCCGCATGCTGGTGTTGCCCACTTCCTGCCAGACGGAATGGCTAAACAACCCTGGACGCCTCCGTTGGTGGTCTGTTTATGTCAGATCGGGGTCTCTGTCTTACCAAGCCAGACCCCTAAGTCAGAAATTTCCCTCCCCGCCAGCTTGTGCTGTTCCGGCACCACTGAGCAAGTGAAAAAGATAGGCGCTGTCTCAGTTGCTGGTGGCTGTGGCCGGTGGAGGCGGTGAGCAGGTGTGGTCCCCTTTTTCAGGTGTGGCGCTTGGACGCCACTCGTTTGCCCCACCCCCGGAATGTGGACTTTGTGCTGCTTCCATTTTTCGATGGTATCGTTTCTGCCGATGACCTACCCGTGTCGGTACATTTTAATAAGCGGGGGCAACCCTAACAGAGGCAAGCCCAGTCTATGGAATGCACTCCCCAGAGAGGTCCGCCTGGCGCCGTCGTCATTTGTTTTTCAGCGCCAGGCGAAGACCTTTTTATTCAAACGTGATTTTAATTGTTAATATTATTTATTTATTTTATTCTTTGGCCAGGGCGACTTAATTTATACCGTTAAATTATATTGTTTTATATGATGTTATTTATTTATATTTGTGAGCCGCCCGAGGCTTCGGCGAATGGGGCGGCATAGAAGTTCCCTAAATAAATAAATACGCACGCGGGCTCAGTTCTTCCCCAGGGCAGATGTGTCGGGCTGTGGCTCCCATTGCTGAGTGGGTTTGCGGAGCTGAAGAGGGATCGCCAGACCCCGGCGCTTCCCCTTACAAAGCGTCTGGGTTGCAGGTGGCCTTGCGATGCTGGTCCATCTTGAGGTTTGCTCACTGGCTGTCCAGCCCCACGGTGTGGAAACCTAAAGCTCTCTGAGGACGTGCAGCGTTTTCGAGCTGAAGAGTCCAAAAATCTGAGTCAAAGGAAAGCACTGGAGGAAGCGACGAGGGATGCTGGTTGTCTTTGCTTTCTCATTCCATGCCTGCTAAACAATTCCAGCTGGTCCTGCCGTGATGAGCGCTGGCTCCAGCGTTCCCACGATCCTGGAGTTCAGCCTGCTTGACCTCGCAACTGTGCATTCGGGTTTAAAAGCAAAATAAAACCGCATCGTCTAAGAGGCAGTGGGAGGCAGCGGCAGCATGTGGCTCGGAAGATCCTCTTTCGGGGGTTACCTGCTGGAGTTGCATCTTCTGAGGCCAAGCTAAGCAGTGTTTTCCCCTTGATCGGCCGCAGAGCCGAAGGGGAGAGAGTCAGAGGGATGCCTGCCTTCGTGCTAAACAAAAGAACCGGGTTCTCAGTTCTTCGACTAGTAGCCCGCGGCGTGTGTGTGTGTGCCGACAAAGCTACAAAACGTGCCTCTTAGAGTGTCGCTGATCCCACTGAGTTGAGGCCTGGAATGTGGGCAGCACCCTGCTGTGCTGGCTTCTTGCCCCTCTGGCTCACCTTTCCTCTGAGAAGCCCGGGGTGTGCTGTGCTGTGCGGGAGCTCCCTCGTCCTCTCCGTTTCGTTCTTGCAGCGCCCCGTGCGGCAGGCAAGAACGAGTCGATGCGTGGCCCAAGATGGCTGAGTGAGGGCTGGCACCCTGCCCTCCCCAGTCTCGCAGTGCAATCCGTGCTCCGCACTTCTGGATTGCCGCTCCCGCATGGTCATTCTCTCACACAAACGGGCGGGCGAGTCCTGCCCGGGCTTTTCCACTGGTGGCCCAGCCTTTCAAGGTGGGGTCTGTACAGCTGCCCCCCTTCTGGCCTTGTGTGGATGGGTGGAAACCCTCGAGCATTGGCTACTCTCCCACTTGCGTTTCCTTGGCCGTGATGCTGCACGGGGTTGAAGCCGGTGGCTTCTTGGGTTGCCCTTTCACTGCTATCTACGAAGTCTGTACATCACACCAGCCTTTCCCAACCCTCTGCCCTCTGGATATTTTAGGGTGCAACTCCCATCAGCCGTAACCAACAAGGCCAGTGGTCTGGGATCCTGGGAATTGTGGTCCAAAACATTGGGATGGGGGCGGGAGGCCGCTGTTTATATAAAGGTCTGGAATGGTTTCTCTTTCTTACAGTTCATTTGAGCACCTGGGCTCAAGGTGACTTTTGTTAAACCATCAGAAATAAAAACCCGTCGCCTAAAGGACAAGGTCTGTTCTTGCATGGGAGCAAACCGGTGGCTTATGGCAAGTCTGCCGTCACCCATTCCAGAAGAGTGTCCAGACACACTTCCCCACAGCTCAGGAGAGGCCTTGGCCAGTCCCACCTCTGCTGGCCTCTCTGTCCGTTTGGGGAGTTTGCACGCCCCATGCAGGGGCTGGGTGGGAGTACGGTGACCTCTGAAGAATTCACGCCGAAGAGCCGGTACCCAGGCTCCGTGCGCGGCTGGCCTTTTGGGCCTCCTGTAAGGGAGGAAGTGCCGACCCCGTTTGCTGATGACGGGGCCGCGCACTGACGCCTCGCAGCAGCGGTGCGCTGCCTCCTGACTGAGGCGAGTTCAGAGCTCCGCTTCCTTCGCCCTTGATGTGGGTGTGCCTGGAATCGGGGGGCAGAGACCAAGCCTTGCGGCTGTGCTTCTTGCAGCATCTGCTGCCACCCCCCCCGCCCCACCAAGGCTGGTAGAACGTGCCTTCTCCCCGCACACGTTCTCATGGCTTCTGGTCACAGGCTTCTCCCGTGTGCCCCCCAGCAGGAGCCGTTCTGGGGTCTCTGGGACATGCTTTGCCTGGGTGTCGCTGCTTAGGTGTGGAGTCGGTCACCGCGGGCCTAGAAGGGAGAATGGGGCGAAGGGCCACGTTTGTGGGGGCTGCAGTGCCGGTCCTTTTCAGGGGAGGTGTGCGCCCCTCCCTTGCTCCGTCGCCGGTAGCCGTGCCTGTGGAGGGCACCTGTTCTCCCAGGGACCAGCCTGCGCCTGCTGGAGGTGATCGGCGCCCGGCTACAAGGATCCTCTGGTGGCTTGGGATCCAGCAAGGGGCGCCATCTTGGTGCATGTCAGGAAGTGCTTGGCTGGGTCTTTGCAGTGGAGCAGCCAGCAAAAGGTTTCCCTGCATTGCATGTGGATTGGCTCAGTCTTTTCTCCTCCCTGACCACCTGAGCTGCCAGGAACCTGCCAAAGTGATTAATCTTCAGTGTTGTGTTTTCTGGGGGAAAATGAATTGGAAACAGTTTCTGGGAAACTTTCCTTTGCGAATTAGGTTAATTTGCATTATAGTTGTATTCCAGAAATTCCAGATACAAATGAGGGTAATTCGCAAACAAAAGGT